TGTAGGGAAAAAAAAAGGAAAAATACAGAAGGGATCACATGCTTGGTCTCAAGATTCAGACACTGCAACTCCTTTAAGGTTATGGGCCAATGAACTCCACTTCATGGATTTTTCTTTTGCATTCAATTATTTTGATTCATCTTTTTGCATTGCATGCATGAAACTCGTTAAAATCCATCATGTCTCCCAACCTTGCAAATTCATTATTACCAATATTAATCACTTAACGTATGCTTTTTTTTTCTTTTAATGTGTATTATGATATTTATTAAGAGTAGATTTATCCAAAATGTAAAATATGGATATGAACAATTGATGGTATATTGTAGGTGTAGTTGTGATCCATCCATTTAGAATTTTTTTTATGAGATACTAAGAATAAAATATATTTTAATTTCATTTAATTAGCTAAATACATGAAATTAGTGCTAGCGTATGAGTTCAAATACGCTTTAACCTATTATTCAAAATCTGCAAGTCTCTTACCTTGAATTTTTTTTACTCGTTGTTACTTGAAAAAAATCAGTGATTCTTAGAGATCTACTATATAGTACGATAACATAACTGTTGTGGTGGGTGGGTCCACTATATGAAATTCATTGCGAATATGATTGGACTAAGTGGTAAAATCCCACACCAATAATTTAACAACTCTTCCTTTGTTTAGTTCCTTCATAGATATATACACAACTATACATATATATATTATTTTAACAAAATTCGTTGCGCCCTTCTGTAATTTGCGGTGCATTTAATTTTACCGATTCCCCATAAAAGCCATTTACGATGCTACCCTCGTCCCCCCGGATATATGCGTAGGTATATCTGTAATTACGAGAAATACTAAGGGTATCATAGTAATAACGTACTACGCCGTACTAAATGATCCTCGGACCTACCCACTTTAATTTCTTACCCACCAATCCCCCTTTATTTACAGGGATACCCCCTCTTTTTCCCACACTCTAAACATACACTCTCTCGCAGTGGATACAGAGCACGCAACAATGGCTTCACCAAAGACTCTCTTCTTCGCCGCCATTCTCGTCGTCTTCGTCTCCTGGGTGGCGCGTGGGCGTAACGCACCGAGAGACATCGTACGCGCCACGTGCGTCCACGCGAGCTACCCGAACCTCTGCCTCCGCACGCTCTCCGCCTACACCGGCCCGGCGATCACAACGCCGCGCGACCTCGCCCACGCCGCCGTCAAGATCAGCCTCTCCCACGCGAGAAGCGCCGCCGCAAAACTCGCGTCGGTGAAGGCTTCCGCAGG